GATTACATAGAGATTTAAAGGCATGTTTTATTGCGAAATAATTTACTTATTGTTAATCTCATATCTATACGACATAGATATATGGAAATAATTTAATTTTTTTATCGTGTGTGCCCAAAAATTTCTGTGTAAATATAATTAAAGTAAAAATAACAATACAAATAATAATAAATTGATGTGAAATAAATTTAATTTGCCATAAAGGATTCTTTATATTGAAACATCAACAAAAAAACTAAAACGTGAACAAGTTTGGCAATTTCAAATAAATTACATTTATTAAAATCAACTAAATAAGTTGTAAAATCAATAAATTTTTTTCGCGAAAAAAAATAACCTTTCTTTGTCAATTTAGTGAGAAAAGTGACAAAAAAAGTTTTAAACAACAATATCGATAAATACAAAAAAAAATCAGAAAATCATGCGAATCGTTAATAGAAATATATCGTGATGGACTGGAGATATTCAATTGCTATTGCAATGCAATGTTGTTCGATGCAATGTTGCAATCTATTGCAGTAAATTAATTGCAACAGATCGAAGGCTGCAATATCGACTTCGCTAATTGATTTCACAAATGTGTGACAGAAATTCTGATATTTATTTACGAATATTTAGCGACAGTTTCGTACACGTTATGTACATAAGCTCTTCGTTCGCATTAATTATTACATATTGCATTAATTCGCCTGTAATTGCATCTCCAATTGCGCGATGAAATCTACGAGATTAACGATATCGTGAATTTGCGAAGAAGAAAAATTATTTGACGTAGCGGTTTATCGTTATATAACGGAAAAATCGATCGGAGCTGGCGCGTACAGCAGCCACTTCATTTCACGAGAATCTACGACGTGCCCGACGAGATGATCCTATACGTAAGAGACAAGGGACGCTTCCCTTAGTCAGACCTGCCTGTTATCGACAGATCGTGATAAAATAGAGCAGTTCGAGCGGACGATTCGGCGACAAAAAACGGATTCGTTCCTTAGTCGTACGTGTCTACCTTTTCTCGGTATCATCTAATTTCACGATTTATCGTTCTTTCTCGGCACATCGATAAAAAATGCCAATTGCTACGTCAAAATGACGAGACTAAAAATCCTTCATGATTTATATAAATCATCGTAGTTTAAATTTGAAATAAACTAATTTTAACTCTCCAAAGAAAAAAGATGAGACTTCTTAAAAATAATTTATTATATTAGATTTTTCTTGGAACTAGGTTGACAACGATAATAAATGGATGCTATGCAATTTTAGTTTCATGCCTTGCGTCAAAGATAGTCAAACATTCTAAATGTTTCATTAAGGAGAATCTAATTAAATTTCCACTATCATTGTACAGTTTCACCAAAACACTCTCAAAACGCATCCTACTGTCAATTACAATTTAAGCAGGTGCGTATGGCATTTGAGGAGGGTTTCGCGTAAATCCCCGACCAAGTCTTCGCCCCAAGACAGCCAAACTAGAATCCTCGCCACGTGCACGTAGTAAAACGTTTGCCAAAATACACGATGGTCGTTTGCATGGCTGCCGGAATTTACTGAATACTCCGGCGAGACCATCAGCGACGTCGTAGTCGTTTAATCTGCCAGGGGTTTTCAACTAAACCTCCCCCGCGCATCCGAGAGGCTTGCTCTTACCCTTCTCGCCTCGGTAGCACTTTGGGCAAAAGCAACCAACCAACCGACCCTTTCCAAAATGTGGGACCCGCGTGTGTATTTGGCGTAATTAACCCAAGTTATGAGATGCGTTTATACACGGCGCGTAAACACGGTACAGGAAATTACTTCTGGTAATGCGAACGTCCCTTTATTCGTGCGAGCAACAATGGACTTTTTGTTGCGAACACGAAATGAGAAAATGTTTCTGTTCTTATTTGCGTCGAGATGCCTCGCGCTAATCGATATTCGGGTTTGACGTTTATGAAGTAATCCCTTTGCAAAGTAATCACTGCGAAAATAAAAACGGATTGAAGGTCGTAAATACCGGACTAATAGAATTACCTCTCTGATGCTAAAGCTTTACTTATCTCACATTTTTATAAAAGCAAGGGATTTCTGCACGATACAAAACGCGTAAGATCCCAATTTACATTTGATTATTACATACAATAAATATTGCATTTGCTTATTTATTTGAACAAATCATAAAATAAATGTGGAATGTTGTTAAAAATAGATATAATTATAAAATAATTATAAAAAATATTTATTGTGCGTTTTATAAATCTTGTTATTTATCTTAATTAATTAACGTATGCGATAGCATTACATATTTGTCTTTACAGGCAAACAACTAACTTGTGCACATGAAGCAATTAACGACCTAATTTACGATCTGAAGTGTAAGAAGTACTACGTGATACGCAATACTAGACACGCCCACTGATATTCGACCGTGCAAGAAGCAAATTTCTCATTGATAAAATACGCAGCTTTGCGCAAAGTTAATAAATTTACATTATCGAACGTGTTAAATTGCCACTTTTAGTGACGTAATAATTTCGCCGGGAAGGAAAGGGTTGCTTGAAGAACGGGTGGCGAGTTGCGTTTTGGCCGAAGCATAAGCGATATATTCTAGTCACGTATCCATAAAACTCAACTACGTACGGGCCGAAGAAAAATCACCTTGCAAAGAAAAGCTTTCGTGTGATATCGAAATCAGACAAGAGAAGCAATTTTCAGATCGTACATATGTTTAATCGAAACAAATAATTTCTTGCCTATTTAATTGCGTTTAATAATTTATTCTTCCATCTTTTTTGCCATTTTTTTTGTCTTTCATGAAATCTTATCTTCTTTTCTGTAAATATATAATAATACAAATTCTTGTAATTCTTGTAAATTATACATTGCGATATTTGATACGAGATATATAAAAAATTAATATTACAGCGTATAAAGCATAATATATAATTGCGTTTAATAATTTATTCTTCTATCTTTTTTGCCATCTTTTTTGTCTTTCATTAAATCTTATCTTCTTTTCTGTAAATATATAATAATACAAATTCTTGTAATTCTTGTAAATTATACATTGCGACATTTGATATGAGATAAATAAAAAATTAATATTACAGCGTATAAAGCATAATATATTTATGTATATACATTTATAATAAGAACATACGTTCGAAGTGAAACTTGACTTAAGAAATTTCTGAATGATATTATTGATGAAAGTTTTCTCACAAGCCGAAAAACATTGGTTCGACGATTGCGACATTAAATGTCCCACTTATCTTTCTCATACCTCAATGGGAAACTTTTGAAATAAAATAGCTTGATAGTCGGCCTCCCACCGTCACATTGGGTTATAAAAGGACACAATTTCTCGACTAGAAGCCTTCGTTCCTTGCAGGAGGGAAGGCGGCCCGCTAAAGTTACGACAGGTAATAACAAACTTTCGTATTCTTCCTCCTTGCAAATGAAACGCTCGAGCGAGTGAGTTAATTTATATCAATTACGGCTGATGTGATTAAACCGGAAGAGAAGAATGAAGAGGTGGATTAAGAAGTTATATCTTATATTGCGTGTTTCTTGATACTTTTTCTACCAATTACCATGGAAGGATTGGCAACGTATCCATTTAACTGTAAGACGTTTCCATTTAACGTATCCATTTAACTGTAAGGCGTTTCCCGTCTCGATTATTTCATTCTTTCCTCGCTTACATGTAGAAACATTTTTTTAATATTTAGACGTGAACGTAAAATAATTTCTGTAATGCGAGACAAATATTGATTGCTGTTATATTTAAAAACTCGAAAGTTTTGTAAATATGCTGTAAATATTTAAAAGTATATGTAAGATACATAAAAGATGTAATATTGTACATAACAAGATATTGCATTTTTTTCTATTTTAAAATTAACATTCTATTGATTCGAACAAAACTTGCGTGCCACGAAAATATACGGAAGTTGGGAATTAATTAAAAAGAAAGCTTGTAGAGAGAGTAATTGTGGAATAATATTATCGTCCATTATTCGCAGCGTGATTACGTATAAGTACATAACATTCTTACTTACTGCAAAGCAGGTGCAGAAAGTAGGATAACAAAGTTATTTTTATCAAAACTAAGCATTTTTTTCTTTTTTTTCTATCACGCACAGATAGAGAGAGGGAGAGAGAATATAAGAGAAATCTCTTATTTTTTTCTCTCTTATTTTTCTTCCTGTCGTGTCTTCTTTCAGCGGATGTAAACGACTGTAACTCGCTCGATGCTTTCTGGCAAAATTGCGAAAGCTGAATTTGCGGAGCCCGGTACATGCATAAGAGAGAGAGCGAAACTCGCGGAAGCTACATAATCGCGACTCAGTGAGCATGCATTTATTTAATATACGCCGCAAAGTTGTCATAGCTGATATTTGGCTGTACACAGAACGCATATTAGCCATTTAACCTCTTGTAAGAAACTAAAATTACTTTGAGATTACATAAACATTGTTAACTTTGCGAGCATATAGACCTTGTTAACTCTTCACTTGCATAATAAGCCAACCTCAAATAATATTAAGTAAGACGACAAAAATTTAGATAAATATTTCAGATTTAAGCACAATATATTACTTTAATAATTCTTCTTGTACTTATAATTACAAATAAAATAATAAAATTCATGTTTTGTTTAATTAATATATGATAGAACTTAATTAACATAGAATATATTAACATAGAATATAACTTTTTGACACACATTATTGAAATTATATTGCTTTACGTAAGAATAAACTGATAAATAAATCTTCTTTTTTTCTTCAAACTAAAGTAAATATATGATAGAACTTAATTATCATATAGAATATAACTTTTTGACACACATTATTGAAATTATATTGCTTTACATAAAAATAAACTGATAAATAAATCTTCTTTTTTTCTTTAAACTAAATATATGATGAAACTTAATTATCACATATTATATATTAACATAGAATATAACATTTTGACACACATTATTGAAATTATATTGGTTTATATAAGAAATAAATCTGGTAAATAAATCTTCTTTTTTTTCTTCAAAATAAAGTAAAGTTACCTTTCGTCGGTTTTTTAAAGCCACAAAATGAAAATGCTGAAAAAAAGTAAAATCATAAATAAGAGTTTTAAAATCTTCAAATAAATTATACGTTGAATATTTGAGATATGAAAATTTTAATACATGATTTCTTATCGTCCGATTGATTTTCATTTTGTTCCGAAGTGTATTTTAAAGGAGGAATCATCTGTATGTCCATTTCCTTATTAGCATATGTGACCGATATGTCGGAAGTCGGAGATAATTTATAATTATATAGTGAGCCCTCGTGTAATGATGATGGAGCTATGATAAAGTTTATTACAAAATTAGCTCTGTACCGATATTTAATATATGTGATTAAATATATTTAATATCTATATGTGCGATTATATAAAAGATAAAACTGTAAGTATAAAATTATAAAAACTAGTAAAAAAGTATAAAATTAAGTAAGTATAAAACTGTAAGTATAAAAAAGAAATTAAATTATTTTATATGTATAAGCACATAAAATAGACTAATAAATATTACAAGGTAAATATGTCTAATTTTATAGCATAAAAAATGCAATAAAAAAAGAATAGCTTGCGAGAATGACAACCTTTTGACATAAGGCCGAAGGAACTTATGCTGTTGCAGCATTCGAGATGCATCGGAGAAAACATACTGTTTGAGAGAATACTTGGTTGACGTACAGATTTCGATGGCGGGACAATATTGTAATGCACCGGTTCTACGCTTACAATTTTCGGAACCGACGATGATGATTTTAAATCTACTTCTTTGACATTTCTCGATGACTGAGGAGCAATTACAACATTACTGTCTTTACTATTCTCTCTTTGAAATTTAATTCTTTTGGCTTGAATTTCATCTTGTATATTTCTGCTGGCGTTATGCTTGGACGGATTTTTGTTTGTACAGCGACTCGTTTGCGTTTTAACAGATTCTTGCGATTTCTGTCGTTGTATCTCTTCTTGATGGATCTCTTTCATATTTATATTATTATCCATTTCTACGTCGTTGACCTCTTTTTCAATTCTTATCTCTGCATCTGGCACTACTAAAGCGGCGTTCGACTCCATTTTCTCAGTAACGACAGTATTTTTTAAATTAGATGATTTTTCCGCTTGGAAAGACTGCTTTCCTGCAGTACGTCTAAAATCATTATCCTCACATATCGCTTCTACATCTATTATCTCAGGCGATTCTCCAGTGTTCTCGTTTATGCATAATTCTTCTAAGATCAAAGTATTGACAGATATATTATCTGAAAAATAGGTCGATATAACCCATATAAGAATCTTTATATATAATATAATATGTATATATTTGTGAATTAAAAATTGTTTATTATATATCTAGAAAATATAAAATATAAAATTAATTTTTACCATCAAAAGTCTGGGGAAACCACGGACGCTGCATTTTCGTGGACATTTGATTTGAAGAATGCATTTCTCGATATGGTACATGGTTAATCTTTGGCGGTCCCATATCAAGGACTTTCTGTTTTCTCAGTTGTCTCTGATCTTCTTCATTCTTACGTAGAATTTGCAACTATAAATATCAATGAATTGGATGTCGCGCAAATATAAGAAAAAGAAAGAGATATAGATAGAATATATATGTGTATGCACATATATATATATATATTTAAAAAAAATCAATTTAAAATTTTATGGACCTCCATTTCTATCGATTGTAATTCTCTTCCATGGTAATCCACATTTACTTTCAGCTTCATTAACTTTTTCTCCAATTCCAACCGTTCCACCATCACGGCAGTGAATTCAATTATCTTACAACGTGTGCGAATCCAATCGATATGTAGTCTCTGTTTGATGATCGTCATCATCTCTGTTTTCTTATAATCCATGATCATGTATTCTATTTTGAGCTTCTGCAAATTGTTCTTGACTGCATTTCTAGTTTTTGCCAATGGAAATTCCTCGTACATAGTCTATGAGAAAAAAAAGAAAGAGAGAGATTTGTAAACCAATTTTTTTATTACTATTTCTAAACTTTAAAATAATATACATTTATAACGTAAATTCGTATCGAGACTTGCTAACCCGATAAGTATTCCATGTTTCCTCGTATTCAGCAATGATATTTTGATACTCTTGTATTCTCATTTGATTCAGTTTGTATTGATCATCGATATTTGCTTTTACCATTTCAAGAGTCTCCGAGGTTTCGCCAATGCTTACGTTTAATCTGTATAAAACGACAAAATTCCGATACATGTAATGACGAATTCAATGTAAAAAATATTGATATATAAAAAGTTAGATAATTATTTGGCATACATTGTTAAAGTTTCATTTAATATTACGCTAATTTTATCCATCTGCGTCACCTTCGTCTTAAACTGCTTTCTTTTATCGAGTTCAGTACGTATCATTGTTTTCTGTGTTTCAATTTCCTTTATTTTAGCTAGAAATTATTGACAATATTATTGTAAACGATAATACAGAAAAGATAAAAAATAATTATACGAAAAGTTTATATTTTTCCGGCTGGAATTTGCGCATTATATGAAATATTATGGCGCACTTTATTTACCGTCTAGCTGTTGCTTGGTTTCCGCAATTACCATCTTCAAACAGGTTTCCAGCACTTTTACAAATTGGGGATCATCATCTTGATTATCCATGTCCATTTTTTCTTCTCGTCGAAAAAATTACTTTTACACGACACAAACGATTATATTTTCTTAAAGCAACTTGCTACTTGCCACTTTTTACTGATTTAAACGATCTGAAGTTATAAATAATCGACCAAGTCGTCGCAATTAACAATAGTCGGATAAATTTCATCAAGTGATTATTTTTAAAAAAAGTAAAAACTCTCTCTCTCTCTCCCTCTCTCCTTTTTTTTAATGTCGCGTTTGAAAGATATTTTAACCTTTTATGATCAAAGAAATTGTACACAATCGCAAATATACTTTGTAAGCATTATTTAACGGCAAATTGAGAAACATGTATTGAAACTTTGTTCTTTACTTGTTCGCGGTTGGCCTCCATTCGCGACACTTTCAGCAGATAACTTCTCGCGAGACGTATGCTACAAATATATATCCATTGGGTGAGAACGAAAGAAAAGCGAAGATGAAGAGACTCCACTGTACATTTTCCTCTTTGCGTCGTAAAAGTTTTGATATTTTCGTCAAATCGGTTGACCGCGTTTACTACGCAAAAGTTCGAGCGTTTGCCGAACAGTCTCGTAATTCGAGATTGGGATTCGTTAAGAGGGAGCCATCCCTACGCCCACCCATATATATCTTCGCAGTGTACTTTGGCACGAATGCGGCTTCGATCTCGAAAAGGGCGACGGTGCTGAGCGAAAATAGAGGACGAAATATATGACCGAATTAATCATAAATTCCGACGAATTTCGCCCGCGCGTGACATTTAATAATTTATTATTAGCATCCCATTTTTGATATATGTGATAAATAATTTCAATCATTTAATATAAAATAATATAATATAAAACATAATAACATAATATAAAAAAATATGCTTATAAATAATCAAGTATTATAAAAAGAATTACTTGTTTTTTTTCTTTAGATGCTATTGCAATTTTCATTTGCATTTCTTCTGCATAATATGTCATATCTAATACATTTCACGTTAATTCGAGCGCTGTAGCACTTTCTAAAATATCTTCTAATATATATTTTATATCATCTAAATATATGAATTATTAACATGTATGTTATGTATTGATGTGTCCCACATACATCCCTATACTAGTTACCATTGCTTTGTTATGCAAGTGTCGATTGGAAAAAAGGTGGCGATTATAATTGTACTTATGAATTGTGTCATATTCACAGAAATGATATGAAAATTTCTGAAACAGGAGCATTGCTAATTAATTAATTAATTGCCGGAAAAGGATCCTTTGAAAAGAACAAAAAGAAACCTACTTAGCCTGAAAGATAAAAATATTCGAAAGTAATATCTGCGATAAGCAGTATAAAATCATATTAAAAAAATAAAAACGTAGAATTCCTAAAAATCACTGTATATTTGTGAAATATATTATATATATATATATATATATATATATATATATATATACATGTATGTATATGTGTATGTATGTATGTATATAAAAGGTTAGTGAGATAACGAAAGTGATACACGTGTCAATTGAAAAATGATACTTGAACTTTTTTCTGATTTTTCCACGTTTACATTCCAAGCGATTGTAATCGAAGCTTTTAACGAACTACGATTGGTAAACCAATCATCTATATATGTAGAAAAGCTCAACAAAAATATCCAGTTATCTAAACACATAGTAGTTGAAAATCAGTCGAAAATTCAATGATAGTTTTTTTATACGCTGATAGAAAACTTTAGATATTATAGAAAACTCTGTTGAATTAATTACTTTTTGGCAACACACAATTACGTATTTATCTCTTAAATAAATACATATTTAAAATATATATTAGACAGAGTTTCTGGTACTTTTGATTATAACTTAAAAATTCATCAAAATTATACGTATAAAATATTATTATACAATAAATATATTTGTATCTAATTTCTCAAAAATTATTTACCATAATAAAACTATTTTTTAAATAACAGGAATGCATCAAGAAGTTTCAGGGATCATAGATTTTATTTTTTACGTTTTAATTTAATAGCTAAACGATACTTTAAAATCCCTTTGTCTTGTACTATGGATTAATTACAGCATCGTATTGTCGTGTTGGCAAAATAATCGTTTAAATTGTCTCGACCACTGAACATTGATCCGACCGCATATCCCTGTCAATCACCAGAGAGAACACTAGGAGGACCAGCGCGGTTTGCAAGTTAATGGAAACTAGTGACAGTCGATCAACTTATCGACTCCAAAAATTGATATCGGCGCGCCGCGTGTTCGGCAATATCGCCGAAAAAAATATCAGTAAGGATTCAGTCTGGACGCGCCTGTGTGTGTGTCGTCGAGGAGGGACGTTCGGGGAACACGGCACGCTGGCTGTCGGCCAACTCAGTCCGCATTTGGGTCAAACTGACCTCCATCCCTCGCCAGAGAAGGCCAGGATCCTGCATCCCTCCCCCGTATCCGGGCAAGAGGGGAATGGAATGGCTGCGAGCGAACTGTTTCTTCCTCGCAGCGCTGGCTGCGCTTTCTAGTCGGCGTGTTATGCTGCTTTTACCGCTCCCAGACGCGGTGCACTCTCTCGAAGTGGCTCTCTCTTCATCGTGAAAGATTTGTAAATGCGCCGAGTAGCGATGAGAGGACGACAGGACAAATAACGGGAGGAGCTTTCGACGAAATTCGTAAAAATAAAAAGTCAATTCTTTGAAATATTATTCTTTTACTTTGTTTATTCATTTAAGATTTCTATAATAGTAAAAAAAATAAAATTTTTAATTTTGTTTTGTCTTATATATTAATAATTGACCGATTAATATATCGCTAAAAAAAGATTGAATAATATTTACATAATAATTCAACTATTTTTTTTTTACAAAATATTAAAAAATAAAAGAATAAAATTTAATTTTGCGAAAAATTCTATCATAAAATGTCACAAAGATAGAAATTAACGCGATTTTTTTATGTAATGCCAGAGGCCGTTAAAGCTCACGGAGTAATTTATGGCGTGATTATTTCATCTACGGTAGTTTCTAGTCCTTTTTGAGACTAATGGAAATCGTACCGTGGAAAGCGTGAGCAGCAACCATAAAGAACAGACTGTCTATACCACGCGCATGAATACACGGGGTTATCAATGCTTCGTAAAATGGGTTATCATTGAACAAAATAACATCTCTCGTCAGGCGATATCCTTCCTCTTTCTCTGTATTATTGTTATATCAACCCCACATGGATTACTTTGCGGATGCTCTAAAATAAATAACAAAAATATCCAAGAAACACATAGAAAATATAATGCAATACAGAATGTATATATATATTTTTTTTTAAATATTCATATATAATGATTGTGATATTGTATGAAAATTTCTCTCTTTTCTTTCTCTCTCGATATAACATTTGCCATACACTTATAGAAAATGTGAATAAGCGGAGACCTTTTTATTGACTACACATGAACTATATCGACTGTAACTGAAAGCAGCATACGTGTGTACGCGTGGCAATATTCCCATGGGAATACTTCGATTTCTAAGACCTTTAGATTTCCTGCAAACAACCTGCTCTGACGCATTCGCACGATCTATCCTCCGAATCGGTTTCCTTGAGCGAAATTCCGTTAGAAACGTGCGAGAGATTTATTCGCGACGCAGGCATACATGTATGATAACAAAATATCGGGATTATGAATCTTTTATGGATGGCAATGCTCCCGTTTCGACGAAATTGAAATGGGAGCGAAGTGCGGTGACTAGAATAAAAAACAAAAAGGAAAGAAGAGGAAAGTACGCGGAGCAGCCCGAATAGCATCCTTTCACAGCTGTGCCAATAATTGATCACTAGAACGTAGATGAATGTTTATTGGCATTGCTGGAAAAGGTAAGATAAATACTGTCGCGAGCCTCGAACGAGCGCGTATCTCATGGGATCGATTTTTCTCATCGCATAGAGGAAAGATATAGACATCGCGTGTGTATCGTGTATCTTTTGCGAAGCAGTTTACCCTTTCAGAAACTGCAACTCGTTTACGAGTAATTTCTACCATAGGGAGACCCTTTAAGCGAGCACACGTGAACAACGGTAGATTTTATAAATGGATGAAAGTTTTCAATGGAGAGAACGAGGTAGAAGGACCGTGGAACTTTGTACAACGGAAACGGGAAAGTAGGTCTTATGGAAACCACTGATTAATCTTTAGCGGCGCCTCTTTTATGCCTCGCTGAACATAAAGGGAAATTTTGTTATTCCGCAAAAAACCAACGTCTGGATAAATTTGTTTTGTCAAGAAGAAGTTTATTCGTAATCAGGTCAGTTGCTAAAATAAATAAACGACTGTGTGATAAACGTTGTTGAAATGTTACAGTACATTCTTCCGACTCAAAGCGCTTTAAAAACGATTATTGAATAATTAAATAATCAATTTTATAAAATATATACTTGTCGAAGAGGAAATATCAATTGTCCGCGATGCTTTTTCATTCTGATAATGTATTGTATAAAATAATTCTAACTTTTAATTTAATATGGATAATTGACATATCGCATGTCTTTCTGCTTGCGAGCTTATGAAATGACTAGTTTAAAAAAAGGCATTCGTTGTCAGTTAAAATACGCGTATATATCAAAGCAGATCTGTAATTCCTTGTAACAAAAAAGACTTTAAAAAGGTAACTTTTATTGAATACAAGGTAGGAAGTGGCAAAGACCCGTAGATAATTTCCTCTTTCGCAAGCTTTTTATTTCGTTCAACGCTCTCTTCATTATCTATTTTTTTATGCTGCCGGTAAGTAAAATCAATACGTCTCTCTCTCTGCGATATAAAACTCTATAAAGCTAAAGAATGAACGGCCGCGACTGAAAGCTTTCTTTCGCTCTGTTAATTTTTAAGTCGCGCGAACCGCTGCACTTTCGAGAGAAAATAAAGTTCTGCGGAAAATAGTCTCGGACTAGAATTAAATTTATAAGTTTTAAACCCTTTAAAGCATATTTTGAAATTCCCGTAAAAGAAAAAGAGAACTTATTTTCTCTCTCTCTCTCTCTC